ATTTAACTAAATTGATCATTGTGATTACGAGTTCACTATGTTTTATTATGAAATATATATATAAATATATTTGTACTTGAATCATAGACAAATATTTTAAGATTTATTTCAGTTTAAATAGTTATCTTATATTTCATTGAACTTTAGCTCATATTCCAGGGGTGTCAAACTCCTGTCCTCGAGGGCCGCTATCCTGCATGTTTTAGAGGTTTTCTTGCTCCAACACACCTGATTTTGATCGCTGGGTGATTAACAGGCTTCTGCCCAATTTGAAGAGTTAATTCAATCACTGAATCAGGTGTGTTGGAGCTGGAAAACCTCTAAAACATGCAGGATAGCGGCCCTCGAGGACTGGAGTTTGACACCCCTGTCATATTCATTCAGTTTTAATCCTGTCAAGGTTTCAAACTGTGTTGCTATGCAGGTGCAGATGTTCTTCAGCTATGGCTAATATCCTAAACTTTTCATTCTGCCTGTAACTAACCCAAAATGTCCAGGTCACATTCCTAGCTCTTTCTCTTTAGAAATTACCCCTGGAACCAAGCCCTCGTCAGAGAGAAAAAAGAAAAGAGACAAGAAAAACACCTTTTTTTTCATCTCCCTGAGCTGTTGTTCCTTCGCAGGAAAATCAGCCTTTGGCACTGATTTGACTCCTTTTGCCAATGAGTAAGTCTCTTCCTATCGGCTTACGACACCTTCAGTCGTGATTCCAACAACCAGTTTCGAATCTCCATTATTTTTACAACTTCTGATGAGAAGTATTTTCTTTTGAAGAAAAAACTGAAACGGATTTGGCTCCCTCCTTGGAACAGGAGCAGGCAACCGGAGACGCTGTAAAGCAAAACCTTGGAAGTTTTTACTGGCAGTAAGAGACCTGACATGGCCTCCCTACTAACCTGGGTGAATTCTTCCTACACGCTTAACCTGACGGCCGAAACGCCAACAGGTAAAAGCTGAATGTTTTGAAAAGTGTACCGGAGTTGGGCTGAGGCGTCGGTAGAGATCCACCACTAGGATGGTTAATCAGCACTGATTTCATGATTTTGAAATGAGTGTTCCATTTCTGGGAGGGAATCCTGAGAATTTAATCCCAGAACACCACACTGAACCAATCTTGTTCACATATTAAAAAAAACTTTAAACCTAATGAAAGAATTATAAATGCAACATCCTGTTGCAACATCCTAATGCAATTTCCTGTCCAGACATCCTATCACGTCACTTCTTTAGGGGTGGGGTAGGGTGTGGGGTGGGGTGGAAACCCCTGCCCCTAGAGCGTCACTTCCTTAGGGGGCTGTAACCCCACCTCCAGGGGGTGGTGACCATGCCCATTTATGGAAAAAGGGGCGGACATCCCTGCCCCTATGGGGTGGTAACCACACACTCAACAGGTAAAAGGAACCGGAAATCCTGCCCATAGCCATTAAAAAGGGGCGGGGCACCTGTCAAATTAAGTTTGACGAAAAGTGCCCCATATAGTTTCTTCACTTTATAAAATTGCTACTCTAAAAAGTGATTAATCAGTGGAAGCTTCCTCCTTGGTTTAATTTAGTTATGTATTTTAAAACAGTAATCAATTTTATTTTTATTTTACCGCTACCAGCCAATACTGGTTTTCAAGGGATTCTTCATAAATAATTTATTCTCAGTTAGAGAGAAAATTCATACCCTGTCATGAGGCAGCTTTAAAAGTGTCACTAGATCCTAATTTGTGTTTGGACTGTTTTTGTCCTGTTTTATAATGGTACCTTCTTTTTGTATTACTGCAAAAGTCCAATAACAAGTCTTTGTAAAAATGGTTATGTGGTGTGGGATTTTCCCATTCATAATGTCTAATAGCATCAGGTGAGCTAGAGTCATTAGTCAGGTAAGATGGTATGATTATGGTAATATATTCTTAAGAATGTTGCTAAACAAATAAAAAATAAACTGAACATCGAACTACTGAATTTACTAAATCTAGCATTTCTAGAATTGTGTTACCATCATCTTTTGTATTTTGTTGATAGTATAAAACATTGACATCATACCTGGCTCCATTGACATCAACTCCCACCATCAGTTGTCCATTTATTGACAGCAACTCATCTCTCAGTTTGATTTTCCTACAAAATGCTGCAGGACTTTTCTTCTTCACCTCTGTCACCCAGATGCAGCCTACATCAACGATGGGGCACTGATCCCTCCTCTTCCTTGGGCCTCCCTTTTTTCTTACACCAGGACTCCCAAAAACAGGGATGTTCCCAAAACTCAGACCAAATTCATCTCCATCTTCCTCCTTTTTTTTAATGGAAACAGCATGAACTTCAGCATCCAATACATCTCCACAGGAAAATGAGGTTGTTGCTAAAACTGTGTCACTCTCAGTAAAGTTGAATTGAATATACTCCATCAACTTTTGAACTGCAGCCAGACATAAGGGTATGTTGTCCTCACTGTCAACACTGTTGCTGCAACACATGTCCTTTTCTTCATTGTTGAAGTCTTTATTCTGAAGGGGAAAAATAACAAATGAAAGAACTGATTAGCTTACCAAACAAAAAGACAGAGCTTTGTAATAAATAAAAATAGTTTATTTACACATATTTATAGTAACAGTGCATGGTCTGACTCTGCTTGCATTTCAGGGTTTGGGCAGGTCAGGGGAGATTTGAGGTCAAATCTCAGATTCAGGAGGAACAATGAAGGGTTCTGTCTTGGCTGTGGAACACTGGACCAGCTCTTTACCATCACTAGAGTTCTTGAGGGGTCATGGGATTTTGCCCATCCAGACTACATATGTTTTGTGGACTTGGAGAAGGCATTTGACTGTGTTCCTTGAGGTACACTATGGGGGTGCTATGAGAGTATGGGATTGTGGGTCAGGCCCTACATAAGCAGTTTGAGAGTTTGGTCCACATTTCCGACAGTAAGTTGGAACCCTTCAGGGAGGGAGTAGGACTCCATCAAGACTGTCAATTCTGTTCATAACTTTTATGAACAGACTTTCTCTGTGCAGTCAGGGGGTAGAGGAGGGTTTGGTGGCCTCAGGATTCCATATCTGCTAGTTGCAGATGATGTGGTCCTATTGACATCATTGTACCATGATCTTCAGCTTTCACTGGAGGGGTTTGCAGCTGAGTGTGAAGCAGCTGGAATGAGGATTGGCACCTCCAAATCTGAGGCCATGGTAGACAACTTCAAGTTACTTGAGGTTCATGAGTGAAGGAAGAATGGAGCCTGAGATTGATGGACAGATCGGTGCTGCTTCTGCAGTATTGCAGACTCTGTGCCCGTCTGTTGTAGTAAAAAGGGAGCTGATGTGTAAAGGCTCCCACGTACTCAGGCGTACTCTGCGCATTCCATGAGCCGCATGGACTCCGCGCATATTGTCTGTGGATGGTTGAGAGTTCATACTCAAGTGTACTGACCGTCTGACCAATTCTTTAATTTCTCGCAATTTCAGTCATGATGTCAAGGATAAGGAGGAAGAGATAGTTTGCATTTTAGCTTTAAAACAATAAAAGAAAAAAGAAAATAACTACCTTACCCAGGATCTGAGCTATTTCCTCCCACAAATTTGTTGCTCGCTGAAAGTCTTTAAATTCTTTCATTGACGCGTCATAAAGTTTTGTAATCTCCTCCATGAGATGCTTTCCAAGATTTGACTCTGTAGGGGACACCTCGAGTTAAATTATCAAGGAACTGTCTTGGACTCTCAGTCCTCTGATGGGCCTTCGAAGGGACAAAAACTCTGTTCCACTTAGAACTGAATTTAGGCCACCTCAGGTCGCCTTAACCTCAAAGAGACATTCTCTTTCCTTCTAAATCAGATAATAAACAGAAGAATCTTCTCTTATTTGATTTAGGGTTCTCTTAACTGAAAGTATTATGCATTTTGATAATAAGAGAATGTTTATCAAAGTTACAGGAGAAAAGAGGACATAAGTATTGTGTAATTTCATGTGTTTGTAAATTGTGTCCTATCAAAACAGGTCTCACTTGTAAATGAGATCTTGGATCTCAATGTGACTACCTACATAAATAAAGGTAAAATAAAAGAGTTCTAATCACAGCTGTTGAAAAAGTTAAAATGGCTGACTGAGAACATTTGTGTATAGATGTAACTTATAATACATTTTCTACAATTTTTTTCGCAATTTTATTGTAAAGGTTATAAACCAAAACCAGATTTTGTCAAGAGGTTGTCTGCCGGACAACCTGGAAAATTTCCTCATGATAGGAGGCTGTGGCACAGTGGTTAGGAGAGTTGTCCTGTAACCAGTCGGTTGCCCTTTTGATCCCGTTCCATCATTGTGTCCTTGGGCAGCACCAGGACAGCTGTGGCTACAATATGGCTTACCACCATCAGTGTGTGAATGGGTGAAGGAATGTAAGTGTAAAAGGCTTTGTAGACTGAAAAAACTTGTTAAGGTGCTCCAGACTGTCATAGAAAAAGAGAGTGTCGAGAGAGAGTACAGACCACCACAGAAGATCTTTCCTGCCCACAGCCATCAGCATCTACAATAACTCTTTAGTTAATTGAGTTACAACATGTAATTTCTCTCTGGGATCAAAAAAGTATTTTTGAATTGACATGAGTAAAAATTTTATATTTACCAAGTCTACCCCTGATAACTATTTTAGTAGTACTTGTAATTCCACACTTTGCCCTGCAATGGGGGACAAAAACTTGGAATAGCTTACAGTAAAGTATATGTTCAGTCAGCCTTAGCCATATTGAAAATAAGGTTTTATAAAGAGTTTCAAAACTATTTACCAAATAATATATATTTCTATTGACCACTTATTAAAATATTAGTTCTTGTGCAGTTTGCATACCTCATAAATATGGTTTGGCCAGATTCAAATAAAATATGTGTGTAAATGAACATTCTAATAAGAATGGATTTCTGATATGATGGATATGGAATCATTTTGTTTACTTATAAACAAATCTGTCAAACATATTGTAAGAAAACACAGTATACGTATATCAAATATCTGGATGCATAATCATAAAAAGCCCCTAAAAACCTTCCTATAGTTCAAGACTGGTAAAATCATAACAGCATTTCATCATAAAGAAAAACGATTTTTTTCCCTGTTTTTTTAAGTGTGAAAAAGGTAGAAAGAGGGGTTAGAGGTGAGTTAAATACCTTCCAATTAAAACAATCTCTCTTTATGTCATTCTTCTGCTGTGAGCTGATGGTCTGAGCCCTGTGCCAGTCCTCCAGCAGCACCAGGGTCCGGAAGGCATTGTCCTCAGTGATAGGCATCTTGGCATTTTGTGCCTACTGAAAATCACTGACTAAAAATCATCCAGATAATTTTAACTGTTAATACAGTCACAAGAACTATTGTGGGCTGACTTTGCCAAACCTTTTTGGGGTGAGGTGGCCTGAATGTAAGTGCAGACCCAAGTGACAGATTTCCTGGTCAAGATGATGGTACAGTATGTGACCTGTGGTTTCTGCAAGATCAAGATGTCACCTAAAAATAAAACACACACAAAAACATATAGCATGATGGTTAATAAAGGGGTACAGTGAAAAAAAAACAGCAAGAAGTTATTGTATACATTTACAAAACTACATTGAAATCAATTTAACAAAGTCAAATTCAGTCTTCCATGTGCCAGAACTCTTCAGTTCATTCGTCACTTGACATTTTGCCATTACAAAATCATTAATAATAATAATAACATTTTTGATGAGACAAGAAGTTCAGAATGCACTCATGAAATGCAGACAAAAATTAAAAACACTTAAAAGAATAGTATCATCACCTTAAAATATAAAACACCCTATAAATTTGGACTGGTCTGGCAGTTGATGCCAGACCAGTCTGTGCTTACAGTTGTAAAATGTTGAAGTCTGAAAAAAAAAAAAAAACATTTTATTAAATTTTTTTTTCAGATTAATTTCACAAGTATGTTGAATGTAGCTCATTATTACAGTAAAACTGATGCATGTGTGTTCTCATTATTTTACAGAGAATGGTGTGAAGGACCCACAGATTGAACGTGCCATTGGGGTTTGTAAAAAGGCTACTGCTGCTTTTTCCTATAGTTGGAAAAAAAGAAGAGAGATGGCTGAAGTACAGGCTGAGCTTGGTCTGCTCCCTCGTCAGCTAATAATGGAGTCCCCAACTAGATGGTGTTCATGGCAGAAAATCATACAGAGATTTCTGGAGCAGGAAAAGGCAATAGCTCATGTCCTGGGTTCAGACAGGAAAAGCAAATATCTTGTGCCCACTTGGCAGGACATAAATGTTTTAGAGTCTGTGAATAAGACCACTCCAAGACTTCACTGATGCTCTGTCTGGTGAGGCTTATGTCAGCGTATCCTACATTAAACCAGTGCTGTGTTTATTCAAAAACAGTCTCAAACAGTCTTACAGTAAAGTATATGTTCAGTCAGAGGATGAAGACACAGAACTCACAAAAACCATAAAAAACATACAGCAGTACCTTGATAACAAATATAGTGGCCCTGTGAGGGATGAACTTTTAGACAGTGGTGGGCAGCACTAATTCACAAGTTAGTTCTGCAAATTCTAAACCGCTAATTATTTTCTTTAGTTCCGCATCTTCTAAAGCACATGTCATAAATATTTTAGCAGCAGCTAAATAGATATGCAAAATTGGCTCAGTTCATCAGAATATATACATATTTTCCCAGTAATAACATGACCTATCCTTGCACAACACTGCCATCTAAAGGCAGAATGGGCTGCTTTCAACCCAACTCACATTATGTCGCGGTTTCAGGAAGTCATTTATACAAACAGACGTTTGATTCATGGTGTTAATTTAAAATAAAAAGTTGTTGTGGACTGCAAGTTTTGCTGCTTCTTGTTCATTTATTTTTCTTATGAAAAGTTATAAGAAAAGTTCACCTGCACCTGCATTTCCACCTGCACATCGGTTAGAGTGTTCTGTTCAATTCAGCTTCGGCACAAACATAACACCGTCATTTAGCTGGTAGTGGTGCTTCCGGTTTCAGCAAATGGATATTTCAAAATAAGAGTCCGATTCAATACAGTCCGAACACAACATTACAGAGATGGTTTGATGCTGTATTGACGATAGTATGTTGACATTACGCAGTTATCTTCCTTGCGGTTGATCAAGCGAAAAGCCCACTCTGACATGCTGGAAGTCGCTCTCTTCCTGCAGTACGGGATGCTATGGCTATAAGTAGCTAATGCCTCTGAAATGCTTGATTACGTCCTGTATGTACACAAAGAGCACACACTTCCTCCTGTTTCAACCCTGGGTCACAACTTTATTTAACTCTGGTGAATTAACATTATACAGCTTGTTCTGGGCTGGGCACTCGTGCGTTCGGCATCACTCACATACACATCCAGGACCATTACTTGCTCAAAATCCACAGGAAATAAGGATCTCTTAATTATGACATATTATCTCATAATTACGAGATCCTGATCTCGTAATTATGACATATTATCTCATAATTATGAGATCCTAATCTCGTAATTATGAGATCAGGAGTCCTATTTTTTTATTTGGTGAATGCAATGCTCTTCCGTAGTTTCTTCCATGGCACCATTTACAAAAAGAAACACTAAGAACTTTGAACTGAGTGTAGCCCCATCTGTGACAGATGTAGGCAAAAACACAGGATCAGGATGCCATAAGATAACACTTTAATGGCTATGCAGAACACTGGTTTCAAATAACCTCTTTGGTTTTGTGGTAGTACGTTTTGCTACAATTCTTATACACTCAACTAAAGGCAAAAGCCTGGCCCATTTCTGGTCAGAGCTGAACCATTAGAAAAAGTGATATAGATTTAAAAGTAAGAACTAGAATACAATAAATGTTGAGATGCCTTATTTTCCAATTTTAATATCAAGGAGGAAAAGGTCACTAGGATGAAATACAATGTTCTTTTAAATGAAATTCACATTTTTACTCTTAAAAACAATCACTGATTTCAAACAAACAACATGACTCCACAATTAATTAAAACAATAAAATAAATGAATGACCCAGAAATCTTTGAAGAAATGCATATCACACCCCACTTTTCATACCAGAGTTTAAAACTAAGATCATATGATATTGACAAATAACAAAATAACAAAAGTTATTGTCCCGATGCATATCAGTAACCCAGGTCGAAAAATCAAAAATAAAAATAATTAAGTCCTCTGGACGGGTTCTTCTGTAATGAAACGGTTTGTCTCTCCTCCAAGAGGCGTCTTCAGTCTGAGGAGTTTCAGGTGGACTTAGCCTTTTAAAGGGATCCCCGATTAGTTGTAACATTAGACTTTATTTGATAAACAT